GGCTCACAAATAGCTCCATGTTAACAAATGTCATTAAAATTATTCAGACGACATTCTGAGTAGTGATGTGCTGAAATCTCGGTACCCAATACTTGAAAAAAATTTCGGTACCCAATACTTCCTTTTCGGTACCCGATACCGATTCGACACACTAAACTTTCGTCATTATATCTGTGCCGTTCAATTAAAGTAGCTTATGTCACTTTAGATGGTTTGACTTTGAATTAAAAAAAAAAATCAGTTTCCTTCGAAATTGTTTTATATTTTAATTAAGATTCTATTATAGGGGCATCTTGAACTACATCTTTGGCTAGTTAAACGTTAAAATATTGTTTGGGAATCCAATGAAATGGGGCTTTAAAGGGAAAAGGACCTATCTCGACATAGGCTACTTTTGGGGGTAAAAATTATTGATATTTTATAAGACATCGCCTAAAAACCCAAAATGTACAAATAAGACGGTCCTTTCTCAAGAGATGGGCAATGTGTTTGTATGTATGTAGTTAAGTGAAGCAAAGTATAATGTGTGCGTCGAACAAGGCAGGCAATTAAATCTGCACAATAATGATCAAGGCGAATTTAATAAGGTGGTGTTAGCCGTATATAAGTAAAAAATTACACTAACAAATTATACGCAGATATTCATACTGTCATTAGTATGAACTACAACAAACACGTAATTTTGATGTAATGTCCTCCACGGCGAAAAATTCAGATACGCCGGTAACACCACCTTATTAAATTCGCCCTGATACTGATGTCGCAAAACACACTCTCGCCTTCTTTTACTTATCGCAACCGTCTTTCCAATTGCAATAGTTCTGGTGGCAATATTATTTATTTTTAATAGCTGACACTATATGTATGTGTACATATAACTCATATTTTTGGCTGTTGCGCGCTTTTATTAGAAATTCCAAGATTTCGGTACCGAGCATCGAAAGTATTTGATACTTTTTAAATCGGTACCGAGTATCGATCAATACTTAAAAGTAGCGACTCAGCACATCACAAATTCTGAGAGCAATTGACAGTGGACCAAAGAATTCACCAAAAAATGAATATTGAATACACCACACAGTAGCTTTGTTTCTTTACAGATAGGCGCATTTACACAAGGTAGTGTTAGCCGAATATAAGTAAAAAATTACAAAAGCAAATTACAAGAAACACATAATTTTCACGTTATGCGGTGAAAAATTCAGCTGTTGCTCCAACATTAGAGAGATTAGGCACAGCTACTTTGATTTGCTTCTTTTACATATTTTTGTATTTTTTGATAAAAATGGGCGATTTATTAAATTTGATAAAGTGTGGCAAAACCTGAGTATTTGTGAACAATTTTTAAACATAAAATGCGATTAAAAATTCGCAGCAAATACATATGTTCAGTTGTCAAAAGCATCGGTCAGGTGTTTACTAGCTAGTTTCTGCTAGTTTGCGTTTCTTGACTTTTTCTATATTTCACTCGCTGTGAGCGTAATTCTGTAATTCTTCCCATTCTTCTTCCTGATAAAGATCTGCTAGGAAAGTAAAGAAACAAAGCTAGTGTGTGTGTACATAATACGCTGCCTGTTTTAATATGAGCTTATTATACATACCACAAGTAGAGCTGCTATCAGTGTTGCCGTTTTGATAAATTGGTAGTTTCATTTCAGGGCTGTTCTGGTTTCGTTCGAAATTGATTTCTCATCGATTTGGATTTCCGATTCCAAATTTTAAAGATGTTTTGCAATCCTATCAAAGTTTTGAAGTTATAATAGAAAATAAATCCTATTCGAAATGTCAAAAATGCATTGAGCTGTTGTTGCATAGTATTCGTTTATTAGAACATTTGTAAAAATTTTAAATAAATTTTGTTGAATGGCGGTAATACAATGGTGATGTGAAAGTAGAAAAGCGTACTGAAAGCGTGCTAAAATGGCTTAAAACTCGTACCGAAATATTAAGATTATGTTGCTGACATTCCGTAATTTTATTGCATCATGGTTAAATGAAAACAAATAAATAAAAATAAAATTGCGCGAGCACAGTAATACATTTTTTTTGTTACCAAATATAAAATGTTTATATCGATTGTATTTTTTTTTAATTTTAGACATAAAATAATTGATATAAATTGAATTAATATCAAAGATTCATACTTTTACATGAAGTAAAATCAGAAACGAAATAAAATATCAATATCTGATGATTAAAAAAAATTGGTAGTTTGGAAACTGATTCGGTAGGATTTTTTGTTCCTAAAAATATTGTCGAGTGGTAACACTGGTTGGTATATTTAATACACCAGTGGTGAAATATGCATCAATAAGGCACCCCTACACGCTTAAAGTTTGTTTGGGTACTAATGATTCAACATCATGCCTTCACAAATGCAGCTATAAGTTGCATAGTATATATGAGTACGAACAACAGCGACAATTTTTTCTACATAACATAGGCGAACGCTGATTTGATTTCTTCTTTTCGTACGCGAACGTTAACAAAACATGTTGAAATGTATACGTTCGCGTTTGCGTTCGAATAATGGACGTGTGGTAGGCGCTTAAACTTCTGTCAACTGTGTTCATTTGGCAAGAAACATTTTTTATACCAAATTCTCAAACTGAATTGTGTCTAGGGCAAAATAAATACACCGTTCTTGGCTTGGTAAATATTTTTGTACCAAACTCAAGAATCTGTGTAAGTTTTCAACGACGACCATATTTTCAAAGTATTATAAAAGTAAGGCTAAGTTCACAACCTAGAGTAATAGCGTTACGCGATGCAATGGAAATCGCTCAATCCAAAGAAACTTCTTCGCCAGCATAATCGCTGGCGATTAAAAAGTAGCTAGTGTTTAAATTGCAGCAAAATTATACACGACTAATTTTTTATAATAGGGGAGTTTACGATGAGTAGCATTTTAGATTTAAAGTTGCTACGTACCAATCTAGCACATATTTTGTTGTTGGGAAAGCAACAAAACGTGTGATACATTGCTACGTAGGGATTCCCCTAATATATTTTTTTTGTTTCCACAACCCTTTGACAATTTATACCGAAACTTAAGCATATTGTATTGTATATAATAGCAGTAGAAGAGATGTTTAATTTATTATATAAATATGTACATATGTATATTTTTTATTTATTTGGGCTTTAAGTATGAGAAAAAGCTTTTTTTAACAAACTGCATAATTTTTATTTGCTTGCACAGCGATAAACACCAAAGACTGTGTAAATGTTGGTTAGAAGCGATTTTTATGTATTCTCGCTACGCTAATACGTTAGGTTGTAAACTTAGCCTAATACTGAAACTCAGCTGGACGCCATATTAAAGCTGTATGACTATTATTTAACTAATTTAACAATTTCATTATGTACATTGGCTCAACTATGCCACTTTATGTGTATTTTCGAACCTTTTTTAAACAGCGCATCTCTTAAAAATTTAATAATGGCGAAAAATTCATTGCTTTCAAAATATAAGTTTTCCCAGATTTATTTAAAAATCTTCAAATCCTTATAAATTTTGAGGCGCACGAGTTTTAGAGGGGGTAGTACCGAAATTCACTCGACAGAATGAAACTCGTTTTTAAATTAGGAACTCACATTCATATATATTCGCGATTTTCTTGCCCGCATATTACGAAAAGGAATGCTGAGATTTATAAAAAGAATTCCAAGTTGTGCAGATTAAAAAAGAGCTTCGGTGTAAATTTTATGTCCGAGTTAATTTTAAATTTGATTATTAGTAAATTTTATTCCTCGAATCTTTTCGTACTCTTCACACTCATGGGAATATATTTATGCTAGAATATGATGTAAATAATTTACCATTATGGTGTATGATTGGAGCCAATTATGAGTACGCATTTTACACCAACGGAGTTTATTTTATATTCTAGAAACAAGAAAACTTGTATACCACTGGCATAATATATATACAGAAAATCAGTAAAAAAAATTACGGTAGGTGTAAATAATACACGAAACAGCGGTATAACCTTTACACTGAATCGAAATAAACTGTTCAAAAACTGCGCTTAGAAATGGCAAATTTTTTATATTGAAAATGTATATCACGCCGATGTAAAAGTATACAAAATATTTTGGTGTATTTTTGACTTTTGTGCTACTTGAGTTGTATCTGCGGCAACACATTTTGCTCTATCAATACGACCTGCCAATCGTAAGACCTTGTCCTCATCCAATATCGGGGGTAGGCTATAAATTGTACTACTCTTTGGCAAAAACTTTCCGTCCGCCAATAACTGTATCTCTTCGCCGAAGACTTTCCTCTGAGCTAAGCGACAAACTTCAATTTCAGCGGTTTTTAACTCTGCTGCCGATAAGGTCTGATGTACGTGAAAATGCGCTTTACCTTTGTCCTTAAATTTAGCCATCGCGCGACGGACCCAGCAGATCACTCTCAGAAACTTGTAATAGTTCGAGTATCTTGCGAACTCTATACATCGATCAGTCTCAGAAATAGTCAGTAAACTTTTTGAGCGCCTTTTAGTTGCACTTTCCTGCTCGCTCATATCTACTGACATAGAAGGCCACTTATCCTTCGAAAACTTTAAAAACTGTGAGCCGGCTATCCAACGCAAACAATTTTTCGTTTTCTTTTTCGTTTTTAGTCGGGTTGCATCGTCAGCAGGGTTCAATGACCCGGGCACCCACCNAACGCAAATGTTGAACGCAAAGTTGAACAATGCAAACACACTTTTAGATTTAAAGTTGCTATNAACAATTTTTCGTTTTCTTTTTCGTTTTTAGTCGGGTTGCATCGTCAGCAGGGTTCAATGACCCGGGCACCCACCTCCATTGACCGACGTCTGTTGAATCCAAAATTTCTGCGATACGGTGTGCGACAAATCGTTTGTAACAGCGACAGTCCGAGTGTATCCAGTTTATGACCGTTTTAGAGTCAGACCAGAAGATTATCTCCTTCGGCTTCACATCATGGCTTTCGACAATAGCGTTCATTAGTCTAACGCCGAGCACTGCGCCTATAGCTCCAATCTGGGAATGGACAGAGGTTTAATTGGGCGGCATCTCGACTTCCCAGCCACGAACACCACACCGACTTCGTTTAAATAACAGATCCGCCAATATACTACAGCAGAGAAAGCCACAAGCATATCGACGTGAGAATTCGGATCAGTAAAATTGCTGTGGTAGCACCTCGGTACGCTTATTTTTTCTACGTCCGTCAACTCCATGTACCAATCATACCACTTGCGGTAAATATCATCTGGTATTGGTGAATCCCAACCCACGTTGACTCTCCACAATTCTTGTAGCAGTATTTTAGATTTGATAACGATATTGGCCAAAAATCCGCATGGGTCGTATATGGACATCGTATGGCTCAATACCTCGCGTTTGGTAGGACGACGATTGCCACTCAAAACTCCTAGAGAGACCTTAGCAAACTTTAGTACAAAACAAAGCTCATCGATTTTCGGTGGCCAGAACATGCCCAATACCTTCTCCGTTTCAGATTCACCATTAAACATGCTCGCTAAACCGTTATCGAGTTCTTCGCCCGAGTTGGAGATCAATCCTCTTAGCTCGAAACCTGCCTTCTCGTGGATGTCCAAAACATCAGTTGCCACCGTATGGCCTCGTTAATACCATCAAAGCTGTCGACATAGTCGTCTATATAGTGACGTTTAACTATCGCCTCTTTTGCTCTCTCACGCGGTCCAGCACAGTTCTCAGCGTTTATGTTTTTTACGTATTGAGCGGAGCACGGAGAGCTAACTGAACCAAAAATCATTGCACTCATTGCATATATATCAGGTTCCACGGATTGACTGCCACCTCTCCACAAAAATCTTTGAGCGGTCAGATCGTCCTCTTTTATTTTTACGCGGTGAAACATCTCGCGTCTATCCGCACAAACACCAAATTTTCCTTGGCGGAACTTAAATAGAATTGCTGCCAGAGGCCGTGGCTGATAGGCGCTCGGGCCTTTCATCAATCTCGAATTAAATGACACACCGTTTATCGATGCAGCAGCATCAAACACTAACGCCTCTTGTTTCCCTTATTATCGTTGCATACAGCAAAATGTGGCAAGTACCATGTATGCGGTTTCACTATAGCAGCTTCTTCAGCTGACAATTTTTTTGCATACGATTTCGTAACGTAGCTTTCAATTATATTTTCATACCATGCAGCGAATTCTTCATCTTTTTTCATCTTTTTCTCGATCATATGCAAACGACTCAAGGCCATAGAGTAGCTTTCCTGAAATTCAATACGATCCTCTTTCCACAGGAGACCGGTTTCATACTGGTTGCCACATCGCTTGGTCGTTTCTAAGAGAATTTGGTCGGCTCGCTTGTCAGCTTCCGAAACAACAGGCTTTAACGACTTCACACCAAAATCTTCAATGGTAAAATACTCATGCATTTGTTGTTGAATTTCATTTATCTTATATTGCTCGCAATCAATACGGCAAACAAATGCTTCGGAATTATATTCGTTCGAACCAAAAAGCATGTAACCTAATTTTGCTTTATGAACCGCGAAGTGTTCATCTAAATTATTGATGTCTATTGGACGCACAAGCTGTATATGCGGAATGTCTATTAACATTTGCGGCACAACATCAAAATAATCTTCAATCGGTAATTCATTTAAATCGGCACATTTCTTCTTAAAATTTTCCAAATCTAATGTTTGTGGCGGTAACTCTAGGTTTTTTGTTGTTCTAACATTTCTCATTTCAAATGTATGTGTATTAACATTTGCACTTGAAATCTCTACATTCAAGCGTTGAGACGCTTCACTTTTTGTTCTACCATCTATCCATCGGAGTGACAACAAATCAGATGGCCCTTTTAACCCTACTGATTTAGCGATTTGTTCTTCAATAAGAGAAATTTTTTAGCCGTCGTCTACGAATGCCATAATCTTACGGCATCCTTTCGGACCTTTTATTATCACTGGCAAGAATTTAAATAATGTTTTTTTATTTGGTTCTTTTCCGAAAATAGCGGCAACATTCGCTGTCGTTACTTTTGGATTCGACCACTTTTTCGACGAGTTCATTTCTTCATTCACTGTATTTGACGTTTTCTCTGTGCTGCTGTTTTTGTCAAAGCAGCCTTTTGTTTACATTCTTCATGCAACAATCGATGGTGGTATTTTTTGCAAAAATTGATTCCACATTCACGGCGAATATTACAACTTGTTACATTGTGGCCACTGCGAAGGCAACAAAAACAAAGGCGTTTTGTTTTGGCAATTTTCCATCGTTCACCGACGAGGCTGTGGCGAAATTTTGAGCATTGGCAAACATCATGTTGTTCGTCGCATAAAAAACACCGCGTCTTTTTATCATCGGTGGTAATTGTGTACGTTGGCTTGTAGATTTTCAGCCCTATTCTTATAAAACCTCACAACTGAGATGTGAGCAAAAATTTGTGAGATTTCTTGTGAGGTTATTCTTGCCCACACCTCATAAGAAAAAAGCTCAACCAAATCACCACATGAGGTGAAAAGCATTTTGCTGTCTAACAGCTGCTTCGTAAATAAAATAAATACAAAAAATGGATGCTGAACAACAGGAAAAGTAAATATTTTTGCAATTTGTTTATTTTTTTGATAAGTACTGGTTTTATTTATTTTCTAGGCGAAATCAAAAAAAAAAATAACAAAGCAGGAGTAGCTCTAGTACTTCACACAGTTTGCAATCCACAACTTGGTGCAAAAGCATGATTCAATAATTAAAGGTTTGCTCATTATTGACATTAGAGTTTTGACACTCCCTTAACTCCCTTACAAAAGCTTTGCACACACACACGAACCCTCACACAGTGCCTTGCTAAGGGAGCCGATTTTGTCAAGAGGAAGCGAGAAAACTGTTTTCTGAGCAAACCTTTTATTATTGAATCATGGTGCAGAAGTTTGTATGGAAATGAAATCCTATGCCTGCTCTAACTCTTCCGAAACTGCCGAAAAAACAAGCAATAACTCTGCCATTACTGAATATACTTTTAGTTAAAAAAAAATAAAAAATAACACAGACACTGATAGCGAACGAAAATTAACAAAACATTTGCTCAATAAAAATCGGCTGTTTTTCTCCTGTGACGGTCTCATTCGTACATCATAAATTTTCTCACAATTGTGAGCGTATGAGCTTTCGAATTTACGCCAGCATATGGATAAAGCGCAAACAGTCAACTACGTAGCGTAGACGTAGGTTGACGCAGACACGATCTATCTTATGGGCTTCGCGTGGTAATGAAAATTCACCACCGCATGGCGGTGACGTTGCCGTTGCTTCTCTCTCTCTCTATCAACAGTAAATTTAATATGCTGCTACGTACGTCAACCTACGTTTACGCTACGTCGTTGACTAACTGAGCTTATAACCTCACAATAGTCAGAAACCTCACAATAGTGAGTGTGGTGATTTTTGTGAGGGCAACAAAGTAGGGCTGTTTATCTCGCTTTGCGTTGTGCGTTATTTCGGGTTTACTTTGCTCAGTTTCGGTGGCGATTGCTATGAACATTGCAACATTTTGCAACCACTGACTAAATTCTATTATGCTCGGATATTGTATTCCGTTTGCACATACCATTCTTCTCTCTTCGATAGGGGCAACTTGCTTACTAGCTCATCTAAAAGCGTTGGGTTACACAGATGAGGTGTCGCGCAGGCATTTTGCAAAAACACTGTCAGATTCGAAACCATCGTGCTAAAGTTTACTATTTCGGATATTCTTGAACTGGAAATCAACGGAAAGGCTCTCGATTTCGCTATTTGACTTTTAATCAGTATCTGTGGCCTTCCGTAGTGCATCTCTAGTGTGCTGATGACCGCAGTGATACTATCTGGGTGTATTAAAAAGGCTTAGACCTTTGCTTTAGCTGCGCGCTATAGCGCTTTCTGAAGACGTGATAAATTCTCCAGATTCGTATAACGATAGGCATCTGTTGTTTCTTTGTATGCAATGGTTAACATAGGCAATTGCTCGGGTAGACCTGTAAATTCTGGGAGATCTTGTAACTTACGTATGGTGTGGCTATATCCTTGTGTTGGATTGCCCATCGGAAGCGATGTCGTTGAGTTCATTGGCAAATTTAGATTTCCCTGACGTGTTGGCCAAAAATTATGCATTGTCGCAGGGGTCGACGGAACAGTTGGCGCTGGTCCTGCTGGCATAAACTGCTTAGGCATATAAGCTGAAGACATCTGTTGATACGTCGGCACAGTTGACGTGGCATGAACCGTTAGGGCAGTTACATATTCCCCAGTAGGGTACGTCGGCGAAGTTGACGTGGCGTGAACGGACTGGATCGCCGCCTATCCCGCAGTGGAGTACGTCGGCGCAGTTGACGTGGCGAGTGCAGGCATATGCAGTGAAGGCGTCGGCAGGCATAACGCTAACTGGTTAGCTCCTGGGTAGCTTGTTGTAAGTGGCGTCGGCATAATTGACGCTTGTACTGGCAAATTTGAGGGTGCTGCTGTGGGTGCAAACAGCTGTTCAAGTCTAGCATTCTTTTTGTTAGACTCTTGCAAAAGGTGTTTGCAACTCCGCAATTTTTTTGTGGAGTTCCGAAGCATCACTTTGTTCCACCATTGTTTTTCATGCTCGCTGTCACTAGCAGAATCTTCCATTTTGTCTGAAGAGGGCATTTTGCAGCTACGATTTTTCAATGTCTCGCTGCGTCGTGTCATACACACGCGTTTTATTTGAAACGTTCAAATAAATAATAAAGATGTTGGGAATTCAAGCAAAAATAACACCAACTCCGTTTGGGTATTTGCTATTCTCAGTTTAATATACAAATATTGCGTTTGTTTACGGGAGAGAGTTTATTATCTGCATTAAATAATATAAGTTAATAAGATACAATTTTATGTAATTCAACTTACTTATTTGCTATTTGTTCCCATCAACCTGCTTTTTCAATAGCCTTGCTCTTTATAATGAAAAATGGTTGCTAAGAAGTAGCATTACCCATGATACAAAAAAGAAGGTAGTTTCAATAAACAACTTTTGACGGATAATAAATTTTTTGGAAGTTTCATAAATTGTGAGTATTATCATCGGCCTTGCCACTTTGATAATATTAAAACAATAAATCGGAGTATTTTCCTTCCCATATTTATACCAATGTAATAATATTTAAAATCAAAAACCATTATCAGTGCTTGGTATTTTTTTACTTACGTAACTCGCACTATTTTCATTAAAAATATATAAAATATAGACTATTAAAGAAGACTTCATCGTAATTGTTCTTTTTATTTTATAATAAAAACCACGCGCGCATTATGCTGTTATTTTTTCGTTTTCTTACTTGGAATGCAATCCTGCGATCTAAAAATCTAATTCTAACGAATGTTCTTCCCAAATAAAACCTTTTTATATTTTGGTTCACATATACTTTTATATTTCTCATAAGATTTTGCAAACAATTAGCTTTCAAAAATTTTGATCTTAACGTTTCTAATGTATGCAAAAAACCTGAAGTCGGCTTGAACAGAAAACTTGAAAACCACGTATCAACAAAATGCAAAACTGCGTGTGCGAGGTGNACTCCGTTTGGGTATTTGCTATTCTCAGTTTAATATACAAATATTGCGTTTGTTTACGGGAGAGAGTTTATTATCTGCATTAAATAATATAAGTTAATAAGATACAATTTTATGTAATTCAACTTACTTATTTGCTATTTGTTCCCATCAACCTGCTTTTTCAATAGCCTTGCTCTTTATAATGAAAAATGGTTGCTAAGAAGTAGCATTAACCATGATACAAAAAAGAAGGTAGTTTCAATAAACAACTTTTGACGGATAATAAAATTTTTGGAAGTTTCATAAATTGTGAGTATTATCATCGGCCTTGCCACTTTGATAATATTAAAACAATAAATCGGAGTATTTTCCTTCCCATATTTATACCAATGTAATAATATTTAAAATCAAAAACCATTATCAGTGCTTGGTATTTTTTTACTTACGTAACTCGCACTATTTTCATTAAAAATATATAAAATATAGACTATTATAGATGACATCATCGTAATTGTTCTTTTTATTTTATAATAAAAACCACGCGCGCATTATGCTGTTATTTTTTCGTTTTCTTACTTGGAATGCAATCTTGCGATCTAAAAATCTAATTCTAACGAATGTTCTTCCCAAATAAAACCTTTTTATATTTTGGTTCACATATACTTTTATATTTCTCATAAGATTTTGCAAACAATTAGCTTTCAAAAATTTTGATCTTAACGTTTCTAATGTATGCAAAAAACCTGAAGTCGGCTTGAACAGAAAACTTGAAAACCACGTATCAACAAAATGCAAAACTGCGTGTGCGAGGTGGCATAAATTATTTTCCAGAGAGTAAAAACACTCATATTTCAAAATTGTTCTCTTTTTTATAAAGCAATCGCATTTCTGGCTAGTATATTTCAGGACGAATGGATAAAACTCGAGCCAAGAGCTTGTGTGAGCAAATCCAATATTTGGCAAAAAATGTCAGTTACGCGGTTTTGCAGAACGACGATACGCGGTTTTGTACTTTAAACGACGATATGTAAGTATAATTTTGATCACTTTCTTCATGTGTTCTGAAACTAGCATCAACCCCATTTTCGAAATTATGTAGCCGGCATAATTTTCCATCATATTCCACATCTTTGAATGTACTGATAAAATCTTCTGCTTTAAAAAAATATATTTCTTCTAGTGATCAGGTATCATGAATTTGATGAAATGTCATAATTTTATTAAAAGTCAAATAGTTAGCAACAACAACGAATGTCATTAAATGGAACTACCTTCTTTTATGTATCATGGCATTACCCTTTTTGTATCTTACAAATATGTTGCAGGGTGACTTACATAACAAAGATTTCAAATTTCAGTTAATTTTCAAATTAATATCGTAAATGTCAGATCGCAGTCTGACATAAATACAAGATTGCTGGTTGCACGTTCAACTACTCAACAGCACTAATGATTGAATGCCATTTTTAAGGAAATTTCATGATTCGTAAGACTAACTTAACCACCGAAGACGACAAGGAAAAACATGCATTTGCATGAGATTCCGAGCCTTAATAACCCAGCAAGATCGCACTAAGGGATTCACAAATTCATAAATAAACTGATGTGAATTTACGCATACAAATGCAATAAATTTGCCAATTACTTGTGAATGTAAGAACGTGACGGCTTCTAATAATGCTTTACAGGCTAACCTAATATTCACGCACGCCGCCAATTTATTGTCAAAAATTTCTCATGCACATGCAACTTGTATGAGATCAACCGAAATTGAACGGCGTGCGTATGAAGCTAACTCAATTTCCAATTTTTGTTCTGCGTGACATTTTGATTTGACGTTTCGCTCAATGAAATCAAATGCAAACGCATGCAATTCAATTTCGGGTGACGCAAAAAAACAAATTCGACGGCATGCGTACCAAAACGCAAGCCGCGAATATTAGGTTAGCCTGTAACGTAGTGGTGGCACTTCCTTCTAACATGTGTACAAGATATGCATGTGCTAAATATTTGTCAAAAGTAAAAAGTAATAGTGCCGGCCAGAAGCAGAAATAGAAAATTAAAAAGAAAAACTCTTCAAACAGCGAAAAAGCAAGTAAAATTTATATAAATATCTTTCGTTGATTTTCATTTAAAATATAGCTCATTCTACAACCAAAACCATATATAAAATGTTGCAATCTTTCTACAAAGTTCGCATAAACGTAGAGAATTAAAAAAAGGCCATCAAAATGTCTAACTTTGTAATCGGATTGTAATCAACGGTAATTTTTAGCTACTTGAAACTTGCACTTTATTATACTGAATCCGATTAAAAAGCTTGAAATTCCGATGTCCATTTCTTTAAATTCTCCAATTTTTTGCGGATTTTGTAGAAAGGTTGCAACATTGATTTATATGGTTTTGGTTGTGGAATGAGCTGTATTTTAAATGAAAATTAACTAAAAAGATTTATAATGGAAGACGTTTTGAATTGAAGAAACTAATCAGAAAACTTCTGAGACTAACTCTATGTGTGTTTATAATAATTATGTTTAATATTTCAAAGGTACGATTGTAATTAAAAAACGATTTGCAACTTCTGCCAACTTCAACCAAGCAGTGGCTGCAGAATTCACAAACGAATCAACGCCGAAGGCTGCAAAAATTTACGTGGATTCGTCTTCAGGTATATGATTTATAAAAACTGCCCACAAGTTTTTACATTAACGAGGGTAACCCCAAAATAACCCCATTTGACTTGTTATTGCGGTATAGGATTTTTAACTTTTATTTTTAAACCACTCCCATTTACAAGTCAGATTGGGTACTATATTTGAACAATTAATTAAGTTTCCATATATGTATGCAACAACAAATCGACACCTGGGGGTCTACTCTGTATTGCGATTCGCAAAGCAAATCATTCAGATTCGAACACTTGAAACTATGAATTTGTATTAGTCCATGTCGCCTTTCGAATCACATTGAGTTTCGAATCGCAATGCAGAGTAGACCCCCTGAGTAAGAGATCGACCTTTCTCGGCAGCCAGTTCTTAAATGCCATATCTCAGAATTGGATTGAAGAACGCCCTATTTCGGAATTCGGTTCAAACACGCCCTATCTCAAATGAAAATGTGTTGCGTTCTTCAATCAAATTTGGAAACAAAATTGAAAAACATTAAACCGTCAAAAGAAAAATACAGTATATTTTGCTTTGCTGCCTCTATGCTTAAGTGCACGTTTAAGACACCTACCCCAAAAGGCGCATCAGAGGCATTATTTTTAAAATTTATAAGGAAACTGCTTCGGCAGATGCATTCAACATACCTGCACATTGGCGATACCTGCCTTAAAAATTGTGCGACTAGTATCAATTATCAATGAAAGTATTACGTTTACCTGCACAGGCGCTATTTTGCTCATCTCGCAGAACAACGAAAATGGCTATCAATTTATGTAGTTATATAGATGATTAGATAACAATCAGTAAAAATTTCGCTTGCAGTAATTTCTACATGGTAAGTGCTCCGCCAATATTTGGTTTCATAGGGATTCGGATACCTTCCTCATTGAAGTAGTAAAGAAAATTCGCTTAAGTGCCTTTTTCGGTTACGTGCACAAGTTTTTCGTGCAAAGACGGATGTGCAGCTAAGCAAAATTTACTGTAGTCAATACTTGTAAAATTTACTACATTCATCTGTCTGGCACTAGGTATTTCATTTGTCATCATTTGTTTGTACTTAACAGATCCAACTGCTATTTCGGCGCAAATTTTGGAAAACAAAAAAACTATAACTACTAACCAGCAAAAGTTTGATGAGCGCCTTCAAAATTTGGAGAAGGCTCGTCACAAAAATGTAAAACTATTGATTTATTTATACCGTAGTAATGTCCTAAATACATAAATGTATTTAAGGCAATCGATAATACAACGCTAATGGCACAAAACCAGACCATTCGCGAATGTAAAGTGCGAACTTGAAGACGAGATGCAAATAGAGATCGCTGCAACGTTGCCCTTGGCAGGTATTGTCGCAGCAAATAATGTCGAAGAAAAGCTGGAAAAACATGAATACTTCGAATCAATGGTGACCGAGTTTATATTACATGCAAGAATCATTTTACTTTTTATTTAAATACTTTTACAGAAAATCTACTTGTTCCAAATGAAATGAAGCAACGGAACGGTGGATGACGTTTACCGAAGGGTCATGACCAGGCATGAGCAGAAAACGAGCACACGCTCAAAGAGCGTAATCATCGTGTGTACGTATACAAGCATGAGCGTAACGATGAGAACGCGACAGCATGCAAAATGAATTAGGGACACTAACACATTCTCACTTTTAGCTAACGCTTGTTTGTGGTAGTGCCCACCTCTGGTCATGACCGACGAACTAGCCTTTTTATTCAATTTTGATGGAAGGAAGGAGAAGAGGGCGTTAACAAAATTGAAACTAATTAACGAAGTTTTAAGCGGTAATAGATGTTTAATTGGTATCTAGCGTATCTACTACTATTTACTTGTAAATTTTCTTTTCAGAGGTTTTCGCAACTGAAGGTCGCCAGCAGTTTGAAAAGGCGTTAAGGAAAAGCATTGAGTTGAGTCACAATCGCTTTCACCAAAAGAAATTTTTAATAAACAATAAAAATGTTGTATAAATGTATAGAAAAAATGTAAATATTAGTGTAAGAAAATTAACCTACATACACCAGTTTGGGCAATTTTGTTTGTTTGTTTAAAGTTACATATATATATATATATGTATGTTTTGAAAAAGCAGTCCATTATCTAATGAACTTGTGATCAGCTAATTAAGTCAGCAATGTTTTGATAAATTTTGGCTATTCTTCTTTCGTTTATTTAATGTTTATTATTTTTTTATAAAAATCTAGCAAATTATAAAACAAACCCATATAAATCCACATTTCAAACTTTGTTTAAAAATTATAAAAAAAACCTGCAAAGTTGCATCTAAATTTTTAACATTTAATAAGATTTTTCTGAATTTTTTTGTGTACATGGTGTAAATTTTAAGCTGGTAATTTTTTTTCTGACCGTATTACTTATTTTTCCCATATAAAAGAATCTGTCAAATATATGTACTTGTATCGAAGAAAATGCGTTAAAAAATTTCCAAAAATCAACGCTATTTTTTAGCAACTTCAAACTTTATTTTCCTAGAATTTATTGGACTATAAAATTGCATACTTAAATTTAGATTAAACTCTGCCGGTTTTTATAATTTTTGCACAAAATGTGTTATGTGGATTTATATGGTATTTGTTATATAATGAGCTAGACTTATGAAAAACGAATAACCATTAAACAAAATAAAGATAGCCAAAATTTATTAAAACGTTGCTGGCTTAATTAGCTGATCATAAGTGTATATGATATTATTTTAATACTATTCAAATACATATTTTAAATATAAAAGTCTGTACTTATCATTAATTATGTTTACACACATGTACATATATATATTAACATACATATGTATATGCAGATATATGTACATATCATTTAATAAGTATATAGTTGTTTCTACATATATACATAATATACTATATAATATATACCGTCACTACACACGAATAAAGGCGCGATAGTGTTTTGAGGGCGAAAAAAGGCGCGTAAAAAATTTTTGCGAAAAAAATTCTTATCAAAAACTTCGGCGAAGTATGTTAAGAGTCTTTGACGCTAAAGTTTTTTTATGCCTCTTTTTTCGCCGTCAACTTTTGAGCTCGCGCCTTTATTCGTGTCTAGTGACGATACATACCTATGTTAAGATACATACCTGTTTACTAAATTAATGGTATGTATGTACACTTTCTACATTTAAAATAATGAATTAATATTAGTACTATATACAAATAGTATATGCATATACAGTGCCGGTCACTTGATTAGGGCCACCGTTTGATCCTCAGTATTACAGTTTTCCTTTTGTTTACTTACAGCTAATATAAAATACATATATGTATAATATAATCTTATAATATATACATACATCTATAAAATGCTAGTTTACATATACATATCTTAGTATATAATAATAGTTGTATTACTATATTTATTATTGGGGTATTCGCAACGGTGTCGTAAATGTCGTATTGTTGTATGTCGTAAACTTTAAGCGGTTAAACAAATATATAGAGGACTTGAAACCACAACCAACTGTTTTTAACGGCGTGAATATTCATATGATTTAGCTGTTTAAAGTTTACAACATTCAACAGTACGGCACTTATGTAATTAACATTACAAGAAATGTTTCTACAGAAATGGAATTAAAGCCTTTAATAAGTTAAAAAAAAAAACTGAATTTAAACATTATTATTTTAATAGTTTACAAGTAAACTAATACATGGATGTACATACACCTATACACATAATAAATTTTGTACAATTGAAAATCAAATTGAATTCACTAAAATGAACCGAAAATGTATTAATTTTAAATTCCCAAATATATTGTTTATTTCAATAAGAAATAAATAAAACACTAAAAAGTACTCGATGCTTACTGTACGATACGAACTTGGATATATACTTGGGTAATGTATAATTCCTCAAATAATCCCTTACATAATTCTTTATATCATTCCTCAAATAATCCGTTATATAATTGCGTATATAACCCTTATATAATTCCTCAATTAATCCCTGATATAATTCCTCAAGTGATACCTTATACGTTCCTTATTTAATGGCATAGACAATGCCTTATATATCCCTTAGCTATTCGGTGTCGAGTGAGAGCGATATTGAATACATAAATACTAGAAGCCCATATAAAAGAGCGGTACAAAAGATCACACGTACACGAATTTATCCCTTAGGTTTCTCCATTTGGTCTGTACAATATAATGGAAAGTTTTCAAATTCATAAGAGATACTTTTCTTAGTGATTTGGCACATATAAGGGATTATATAAGCCATACTGTTCTAGCTAGGAATAAATTTTGCTCTTCTGATACAAGTACTTTTTTCGAAACCTACTTCGATCGCAGTAAAAAGTATCGAGTACAAAAATACTTGGTAAATTGAGGAAAGTATTGACTATGTATTTGGATTTACTTGTATCGATTAATCCCTAAATGGTATTAAGCTACTGCTTACAAACCACACTGAGGCTCTGCATGAATGCATCCCTGAATAAATTCAGCTCATTGCACAGCAGCCTACGGCAGCTACAGCATGACTCCTCCAATGGAGTCCGCCAATGAATGCATGGTGAAAGGGTCACATCTTGCGCTACCGCTTCATCAGCCTGCCCGCATATCTCTCTCTCTCTCTTGCATATTAGGCATATGGAGTGCGTGGCTGACTTGATGTGCACCTATAAACCATACGGGGTCATAGACCTCGATACATAAACACTCGCATCACTACCTCCTCTACTACTCCAACTCGACGACAACTCTAAACCTGGTCTCCCGCTCTCCCTCAGCTAAACATGGTACTTCGAGCCGGATCACCCGCGGCTTATGATACAGTCCACTAGACGATCAAGTCGTCTAGGGGGGCCAGGATGTTTAAGCGACTTATGCATTTCCCGCAAAAACAAAGAACAGCGAACACCCACACGCATTTATATTGCATTTCCCGCATACACCAAATACAGCGAAAACACCCACCCACTTGTATTGCACTCCCGCCCAAAACTAAGTACAGCGAACAAACACACGCATTTGTGTTTAAAAGTAGTTCGCTCGTTCTTAATTGGGTATGTATTTTTTATGCAATTCTCAAATCTCTCTTCGCTAAACTTAGTGAAGTGATAAGTCGCTGGCATTTTCAGCTATGGTCAATGCTAACCCAGCTTGGCTATCACACGGTGCTTTAAGCATCACTCGCACTCAGTGTTGCCGCCGCTCAAAGAACTTTCTAACTAAGATTAGAAGAAAGAGTTACAAATGTAAGGAAAAATAAAAAATTTGTTTATTAGATCAACAATTCAGGTCATCACAAATTCTTTTGGCGCGTATTCATAGTCCAGCACCTAAGTCGAAACTAACAAAGTTGCAACTTAAATTTAAGTACCTACTTAAAATTTACCTCTATTCATAGTCGCATTTCAGACTTCTACTAAGTAGTTTCGACTTAGTTTACGATATAGCAAAACGAGTGTAAAAATGTATCGATTTTTCTTTACGATATTTTGGAAAAATTACATTTTTATTAAATAATGTGAAGTTTGATCATCTGTTTATGTAATTTTTATTTTCATTGCATGATTATGCAAAAGAATAAGGTATCATTTTCTTGTTAATTGTGTGAAATAGCCAGAACAACCGCAGTGATGTGAAGTCGATGTTTATCGAAAGCATGCTGTAAAACATACAAATAGTAGATATCTAAATATTATGCACAAATTTACTTTAAAAGAACTAACGTGAAACTGACTTATTATTTTAACTCGACCACAACTCTAAACCTGGTCTCCCGCTCTCCCTCAGCTAAACAATATGTTTATATTTTTTATAATACTAAACGTTAACAAAAATTGCAATATTTTCAATTCGTGTAAAAAAATAAATTTTCTTTACATATTTATTTGCGTTTGTGCATATATAGGCAGTGTCAAATGTTAGTGTACACATTGTTCTAATATAATATTCACATCTATTTTCATGAAAATTTTTTTTCATTAATTACACAGGTTTACAAAAAAAAGTTTCTGCTTATTGAACCAAACCTATATATCTCTATGGTATTCATCACGTCAGTTTCGAGGTCATTTGAAGGTCATGTAGGGAAAAATCTGTTGAAAACCCTAAAAATTCAATATAGCTCTTCTGAATTTGACCTTGAGTTAACGATACCATAGGCATATAGAGCAGTGCTAGCCAAAAAGAGAAAAGTATAAAATGGGAATGTATTAGTTATGTTACCCAAAAATGAGAATGTGTTGGTGGTAGTGTACGGAGTTGTAACGGGTGATTTTTTAAGAGCTTGATAACTTTTTTTTTAAAAAAAACGCATAAAATTTGCAAAATCTCATCGGNTACTACTTATCAGGGTTGTTGCGAATATTCGCATTCGCAACCGCGGAGCTTCCGCATTAATTTTAATATTCGCATTCGCTTTCGCATTCGCAATAATCAATGCGGAGATTTTGCGAATGCGAATGTTGTGCAAGTGCACCGATAAAACGTATATCTGGCAAACAAAATGACAATTTGTAGGTAATATTTTTTGCCTTTGGTCGTGGGAGTATTTCTTTAACAAAATTGGCGAACTTTAATAAAA